GTATATAGTATAGCTATATAGTATAGCTGTTTTGCTATTTTTGCCATCTTTTTTTTTTGTTGTAAAAAATAAAAATCTGTGCCTGTTTTATGATTGTCCATTGTTGTCATCATTCTTTGTTGAAATCAGGTCTCTCTTGTAAATGATTCCTCGAGGCTCAATGGGAACCTGTCTAAATAAAGGTTGAATGAATGAATGAATACGACAAACAAAAAATGGAGTATACAGAAGAACACAACACTTACAAGAACAAACAACAAGGGGTGTTAATTAGACAAATATTTGCCAAGATTTACATATAGAGATTGTCCCGAGGGAACTAAACTATCAGCTGCTGCCTGAAACTTCAACAAAACCAAAGACATGATGCTAAGAGCCGAATGCCTCCAGCGACTCCATTAAATGAGCTGAAGTCTTGATACAAGCTAAAAGCAGTAAAGTGCTAGCTAAAAAGTAAAAATAAATATATAAATTTGCTAAAAGTAGTTAAACGATACACAAAAGTAAAAAAAAACTACTAGCTAAAACAGCTAACTGCTAGCTAAAAGTAAAAAAACAGCTTGCTGAAAGCAGCTAAATGTATGCTGTGGGAATTGATCCTGCAACCCTCTCGCTGAGAGGCAACGGTTCTACCATTGTACCATGACACCAAACTAAACTACCTAAAAACATAAATTAGCAAATGGCTAGCTTAACGCTAAACACAGCAAAAGGTGTGATCTATTTCAGTACATTTTCAGTAAATATTGAAAGAAAACTGAATGAAATGGGTGCAGTGACACATGTTTAGAGCAAATTGTCACATACCAGAGCTTACCTCCTGGTTGCATCAGAGAAAACAACAACTACCTCAAAGCATAAAAAAATAGCAATGTCTACGTGCACACAATGATACCACCTAAAAATTTGCCTAACAAATTATATTCTCTTTTCTTACTTTTAGATTGACTTTGAATTAAGTTGTTGAAAATATTTTCCAACAGTGTTAGGTTGACCAAATGGCTGGACCAGCATACATGAACATCTATGCCAAGTACACACTGCAGGACCCATGTTTGAATTGAAGTGGAATCACCCAAGTGGAAAAATGAGTGTGCTGGGTGTATATTTTTTCATATATAAAAACCCAGTTCGCCCTATTCTTCCACTTTATTTCAGTCTCAGGTCCTCTACCAGAGGCCTGTGTTCTGTAGGTTCTGTTCAGTATTTGAGCTGTTCCTAGGACTGGGCTCTTCTGGACAGAGATCAGTGACGTTGTTCCTGGGATTTGTTGCAGCCACTCTTCCAGTTTGGGGGTCACTGCACCAATGCTCCAATGACCACTGGATTGACTCTTTGACTCTCCACAACTTCTGTATTTCCTCTTTCAGTTCTTGGTAATTCTCCAGCTTTTCCTTCTTACTGATGCTACAGTCACTTGGGATTGCTACATATATCACCACTGCTTTCTTCTCTTGCTTGTCGACCACCACAATGTCCAGTTGGTTATCCACAGTGCTTAATTTGAGCCGAATCCTGCCGGAACAGGATCCAGGAACTCTCTTATTTTGACAGGGTGCATTCTGGCAACTGTTTGCTTGGATCCGGTAACTTTCAGACTAATAAAGCTATGAACAAATATGACTGCCTTGAACAAATAAAACCTATATTGGATATGCAAATTGAAAATAATTACATAAACAAAAATTTTAAACACAACAGCCACTTACTACTTCTTAATATCACAAATGATCATCTGCCCCTTCAAGTAGCATTTCCGCCTGTATGCTTAAAAAAAATCTCCACCCCTAAAAGGGTGGTGGGTGTGAATGCCCAGCTAACCATGCAGTCGTACGGGGGCAGGAGCCCACGGACAGCAACAATGAACAGAGGAGGCACCTAGAAGGTTTCACAAGTCGAGTCGGACAGTGAATTCAATGGAGAAATGTCGGCTCAGAACCGTCAAGTGGGGTGGGGGATGCAAGTGTTTACAAATGCAGGTAAACATAGATTTTTAACAAAAAAAAAAAGATTTGTAGGCTCAATCATCCAGGTAAATAACAACAAAAAAGGTTAAATAATTTCAACTAGACCAGTTTCTTTAAGGGAGAAATGTTTCATTTTCCATCCGGAAGACTTCATCAGTCTGGAGCCTGCCAACCAGATCTGTCCCATAAGTAGCCTCCATTGCTGTGTTTCAAGCCAACCTCCTGTTGGTTTGAAAGATGCCTTGTAGATGTTTAACATACACCAAAATGCAGGAATTCACATCTATCCATCCATTATCTTTATCCATTTCTTCCTTTTCAGGTCGCAGGTGTCACTGGTGTTCATGTCCAGCCATCACTGTGCGAGA